TGGATAAATTTGAAAAGCATGACGATGCAAAAGAGAACTCAATTCGGTCCGGTTTTCTGAGCGCACACACACAGAAAAGCACATCTCACACAGCGCACGAGTACTGAATTCAGTTCTCTTTCGCGTTGCACAGAGAAATACAGACAAAATGATGCCGAATGGTCAGTTTTGATGAGTATTCACGTAAACACTCGGTTACGTCTTAAGTGAGCGTGAACAGTTGGGAGAATTTTGGATGTGTATCAGTATAATACATCCTTGCATTCTGTTTTAAAGGGACAGCAGCCTAATTTAGTTGCTGTTGAATGTGTCATTGATGTTAATCAAGCAACAAAAGAAAGAGAAAATCACTCACTGCTTTTGACTTTAGTAACCCTAATAAGGATTAATCTAAATTTATTTAGAATGTGGTAAATTGTTATAAAAAATGAATATTATATAACCATTGGTATTTCAATGAAAGCAGGACCATGTTCTTGTTTCTTTATGAGAAGTGGTTTTATTTAATGTTGATATAAAGGCATATTGTGTGTCACAGCAGTTAAATCTGTGTCTATATTGCATAATAAAACCTTAATATCAAACCTATATAATGAGATTGGAAATTTTAGAGAAATGCATAATAAATGCATTACACTACCTAAACCCATTAGATCTACTGTAGATTTAGTCGACTAAAACTAAAACAATTCAGATGACTAAAATATGACTAAAACTAAATGGCATTTTAGTCAAAAGACTATGACTAAGACTAAATCAAAATTTGCTGTCAAAATTAACACTGCTCCAAAAGCAACCACTCAGTTCAGTCTCCAGACAGACATTGTTTACCTTGAGTGGGCCACTGCAGGGGACATGATAGAGTCATTACAGCTTCACCATTACTGTGCTGCAGTGTGTCATTGCCTTGTGTTGTGCCCCCATGGATTTATTATGAAAAATTATTGTTTAATAGGTGCTGGTGCCCTCAAAGGAACTGGTCCTGGCAGGGAAAGATGCCGCCGCTGAGTATGATGAACTGGCTGAACCTCAGGGTTTTCAGGATGACCCAGAGTAAGAACCACCTCTGCTGATGGATACTGAGAGCAGATAAATCAATTTAGCTCATAAATTACCAAGAAGATAAGATTGCAGTAATACAGAGTCTGGGGCACAGACTTTGAATAGGTTTATTTATTTATTAATAAGTAGGGCTGCATGGAGCCTGCTTTGAATTTGAACATCAGTCGTTCACTAATTTTATCACACCCCCATTCCTGAAATATCTTTGGCTATTTTGATGATGCTTTCAGGTACCGTATGTCTGATTTTCTTTCTTCTGCTGAACACAAAAGAAGATATTTTAAAGCATGTTGATGGCCAAACTGTTGCTGGTCCACATTGACTTCCAGTTGGCAACCAGCAACTGTTTGGTTATGAACATTCTTCAAAATATCTTCTTATGTGTTCAGCAGAAGACAGATGTTCAAACAGGTATGAAACAACTTAAGAGTGAGTAAATGATGACAGAATTATAATTTTTTTGGAAAACCATTCCTTTAACACATTTAGCTGTATTTAAATCCATTCTGTGAAATTCTGCAATTTATTAATGAATAATAATTAATTATAATAATAATAATTTAATTAATAATAATTTATGCATTTAGCAGACGCTAAAAAGCGACTTACAGTGCATTCAGGCTATACATTTTTTACCAGTATGTGTTCCCTGGGAATCGAACCCATGACCTTTTGTGCTGCCAACGCAATGCTCTACCACTGAGCCACAGGAATACAATTTATTGGTTATTGTTAAAAATCTAAAAATTGCGGTTAGAGTTAAGGCATTTACAGTGAAAAGTAAACTGGGTCAGTATTCTCAAAGACTTAAAAGCTTAATTGTAAGTGGTTTGACACAGATATGAGCTTTATAGGAATTAATTTCTTAACCGTTCTTTTTGAAGCGGGAATACTTTTCTAGATTAACTTCTGTCTGTGCATTACAGATTTAAATCCTGTGCATAGGGTCTGTATATTAAAGCAACTGTATGTAGTTTTGTGTATTTTTGTGACTTGAGCTCCCTACAGTTAAATAGAATTCACTGTTGTAAGTATATCACTGTCGTATTACAGTAGTTAGCTGTAAATTAGCTCTTGTTGCTGCCGTAAAGCAGTCCACCCTTTTTGTGGAATTTCGTACCGCTCTAAACAAACTTGCATACTCCCAAAACAGATGTTTGAGGGGAAGCGTGGGGAAGAAACCGAAGCCATTCGCTTTATTAGAAGTCAGTGTACCATCAGAATGATTTTGAAACTGATATTTCAAGGTAAAAAACGTACATACAGCATATAGAAGCTTTATTTTTGAGCTGAATGCCAAATGTATTTCCTCTGATAATCACTATTATGCCACAAATGCTGTTGATAGAGCAGAACTTGTATTATAGATGAACATTTAAGTTTGCAGCTACAAGTTTAGTCAATATTCTTGGGGCATCTGCTTTTAAACATCTGATAGCATCGTTTCCTGTGTTTTTGCCGTTCATGAATAACAGTCTGTACTCTTTTGTATCTTCAGTGTGGTAACCTTTAGAAAGTCAAACAAGATTGGCTTCTTCATCAAAGTGATTCCGCAGAGGGAGGAGGGTGATGTCACTGTCGCTTTCAAACTCCGACATGACTTCCGGAACCTCGCTGCTCCGATCAGAAACACTGAGGAGGTAGAAGCCACCAGTGAGGCCATCTGGCTCACACACCATGTGGAGCTTAGCTTGGGCCCCCTGGCAACTTGAGAACATAACACACGAGCTACACACGCAAACATAAACACACTCTGATGCATAAAGGGACAATTTAAACAACATGTGGCACTAAACTCACAAACTCTCTTGCTCATAAAGATGTTCATTATCTTGACAAAGTGAGTGTAAATATTATCAGGCACACATACATCACTTACAGGAATGCAGTTACTTAACAGTACACACACTATGCCTACACTTATGCCAGATGCTTTGCGCAGTGATCTCTTTCTCGCTCTCTGTTTCTAGTGCCCCCTGCTGACGTGTTTAACTGCATGTGATTACAGTGACATCACCTACTGTTATATTTCATGGTTCCAACTCCAGTTCTCAGTGAGTACATTTACATGGACAACGATAATCCGATTTTAACACGATTAAGACAGTACTCTGATTAAGAATCTACCATGTAAAGTGTAAACAGACTTTTGATTACCTTAATCCGGCTAAAGTCATATTCGAAGTAAACAAATCGAATTAAGGCATGTGGAGTATTCCTATTTTAGTCGCATTACTGAAGTGCAATTCCGGAGGGGACGTCGGATGGCGTCACGTGGGACGTAATGACGTGTGCCATTAATCAAACTATGTACTATAACATGTAAAACGGGAACATGAAAGGAATATTCTAAAAGCAACTCATGTAAACACCATAATCATAATATTAGCTTATTTAGAATAAGGTAAATAATTAGATTACTGATGTCCATGTAAACGTAGTCAGTGTTAATAAAGATATTTAGATTAATGCTTCATCTAGGTTTTATGTTAATTTAATATTTTGTATTTGCTGTAAAACAAGCAAAATGTTACTTGCAATTGTGTGGCACTAATTAGTAACTGAGACAAAGTCATTGGTTGTGAAACACGTTTCGCAACCAGCTCCTTTGTCCCGTCATCTGTACTAAATCAGAGGGTGAACACCAGTGCATTCAGCTTTATTTATCTGTCTCATTCTAGTAGCTGGAAGTCCTGATTTAGTTTCTGATATGACCGCCTTAAATGTGGTTGAGCAGTCTTATCCAATAAAATATGAGAAAAGTGATGGATCTGGGTGTGTTTTTATTATTATTATTAAGGATGCACCGATACCACTTTTTCCAGTACTCGCCCGATACCGATACTTTTATTTTTGGTACTTGCCGATACCGAGCTGGGTAGTCCACTGTAAGAAGAAATCTTGGGTATAATTTGTCACGGTTTACTTTTCTTTTGCTATCCTCACTTACATAAATGAACTATAGTGTCCTGCACCCACTAGTAAAAAAAATATCAAAAATTATATACCGTCAAGTAAGTTGTGCATTGTTTTACTTACTTGTTTTTGACTTATCCGACCGAACTACAAACTTTCCAGTGATGTCCGTGAGAAAGATATATTCACTCGACAAGCTCGTGCATCCG